GCCCCCCTGCCTGCCCAGGCCCAAGCCCGCCCCCCCCCCCCGCCTGCCCGGGCCCAGCTCGGCCCCACCTGCCCGCCCAGGCCTATAAAACCCAGAGCCACTTCCTCCCCCGCAGCCAGGCAGGAGGCCCCACCATGCAGTTCAATTTCAGTGGCCTTCGCGCCTTGGTGACAGGTGCAGGGAAAGGTGAGTGGCCCAGCACCGGAGGGGGCTACTCCCAGGCCCCACACCCAGCCAGCCCGGCCACCGGAGCGGGCTACTCCCAGGGCACCACCGGAGCCCGTCCAGACAGGACAGACAGACACCAGCCCCTTCCCACTGACACAGCCCAACACCCAAAGGCCGGCACGCCCTGCCTCTCACCGGTGTATGCCTGGTCCCCGGCTGCTCGTTCCTGGGACTCACCCCTGCTGCCCTGACCCCCGCCCTGGGCCCGCAGGGTCACCTCCACGGCTGCTCCTCTGCAGGGATAGGGCGGGACACGGTGAAGGCCCTGCACGCATCTGGAGCCCGCGTCGTGGCTGTGAGCCGCACCCATGCCGACCTGGTCAGCCTCTCGGGAGAGGTGAGGGGCCCTGCGCCCTGTGGGGGCCTCAGAAGCCTGCCAGAGCCGGCACTGGATCCCCACCCAAACATCTCCCACAGTGTCCTGGGGTGGAGCCGGTATGCGTGGACCTGGGAGACTGGGAGGCCACCGGCCAGGCGCTGGGCAGCGTGGGCCCTGTGGACCTGCTGGTGAACAATGCGGCCGTGGCCCTGAGGCAGCCCTTCCTGGAGGTCACCAAGGACTTCTTCGACAGGTGGGGGCCGGGAGGGCGGGCCTGCGGGGGGGCCGGGAGGGGGCCGAGCCGGACAGGTGGCAGCAGCAGAGCTCCTCTCTCCCACCAGGTCCATCAATGTGAACTTGCGCTCTGTGATGCAGGTGTCCCAGGTGAGCGGGGGAGGGGTCTCAACACCAGACCCGCCGGCCTGTGCTGGCCCAGAACCCCACGCGCTCCTGGTTTCCAGATCGTAGCGCGGGGCATGATTGACCGCGGAGTGCCAGGCTCCATCGTGAACATTTCCAGCATGTTGGCCTTAATCCCCTTCCCCAACCTGACCAGTTACTGTGAGTGTGCTCTGCTGCCCCCACGTCCCTGCCCCTTTCCAGAAAGGGGGGGCTTGGCTCTCAAGGGGCACTCAGTGCTGTGCTCTCCTGGGCAGGGGTGGAGGGGTGGGGGGTGGAGGGTGGGGGGTGCTCAGTGCTGTGCTCTCCTGGGCAGGGGTGGAGGGGGTGGGGGGTGGAGGGTGGGGGGGTGCTCAATGCTGTGCTCTCCTGGGCAGGGGTGGAGGGGGTGGGGGGTGGAGGGTGGGGGGGTGCTCAATGCTGTGCTCTCCTGGGCAGGGGTGGAGGGGGTGGGGGGTGGAGGGTGGGGGGGTGCTCAATGCTGTGCTCTCCTGGGCAGGGGTGGAGGGGGTGGGGGGTGGAGGGTGGGGGGGTGCTCAATGCTGTGCTCTCCTGGGCAGGGGTGGAGGGGGTGGGGGGTGGAGGGTGGGGGGGTGCTCAATGCTGTGCTCTCCTGGGCAGGGGTGGAGGGGATGGGGGGTGGAAGGTGGGGGGGTGCTCAGTGCTGTGCTCTCCTGGGCAGGGGTGGAGGGGGTGGGGGGGTGGGGGGTGGAGGGTGTGTGGGTGCTCAGTGCTGTGCTCTCCTGGGCAGGGGTGGAGGGGGTGGAGGGGTGGAGGGTGTGTGGGTGCTCAGTGCTGTGCTCTCCTGGGCGGGGGTGGAGGGTGGGGGTGTGTGGGGGTGCTCAGTGCTGTGCTCTCCTGGGCAGGGGTGGAGGGGGTGGGGGGTGGGGGTGCTCAGTGCTGTGCTCTCCTGGGCAGGGGTGGAGGGTGGAGGGTGTGTGGGTGCTCAGTGCTGTGCTCTCCTGGGCAGGGGTGGAGGGGGTGGTGGGTGGGGGGTGCTCAGTGCTGTGCTCTCCTGGGCAGGGGTGGAGGGGGTGGAGGGGTGGGGGGTGGAGGGTATGTGGGTGCTCAGTGCTGTGCTCTCCTGGGCAGGGGTGGAGGGGGTGGGGGGGTGGGGGGTGGAGGGTGGGGGGGTGCTCAGTGCTGTGCTCTCCTGGGCAGGGGTGGAGGGTGGGGGTGTGTGTGGGTGCTCAGTGCTGTGCTCTCCTGGGCGGGGGTGGAGGGGTGGGGGGTGGGGGTGTGTGTGGGTGCTCAGTGCTGTGCTCTCCTGGGCAGGGGTGGAGGGTGGGGGTGTGTGTGGGTGCTCAGTGCTGTGCTCTCCTGGGCGGGGGTGGAGGGTGGGGGTGGGGGGTGGGGGTGGGGGTGGAGGGTGGGGGGTGGGGGTGGGAGG